GTCTCCACCTCTAGCCCCTTTCGGATTCGCTGCCTCTCATCTACTGTCTACTAGGTAACGAGCTCACACAGCGGCTTCAACACTGTGTCTTAAATAAAACCCGAGACTTTGAATGCACTTCGATTTAGTGCTAGGGTTTTATCACGGTCAGATCCAAGAGCTCACAGTCTTGATCGGATTTTCGAGTTCGAACAGGAGGGCCAGAGGCTGATCAGTGTTTGACCAGCAAATAACTCAAGTATTGTCAATCAGTAAACATTGTTCAATTAATTAGACTGGAGTCTAGAATGTTGGAGCTGGAAGAGACATTAAATACTATGGAGTCCAAACTATCTTTTTATAGATGGGAAAACTGAGGCCCAGGAAGAGTGTGGAATTTGCTTGAGGCCATGTATGTACTGTGTTGTGATAAAACTAAAAAGAGGATCCTCCAAGGCCTTCTGGTATCTTATCTAGTACTTTTTCTACAAGACCGTGTTATCTCTTCATATTGAATATTTATTGTGACAGAGTCACAGAAATGCCTTACAACTACCAGTTACACTTTTTGTCATCGAATCAATGGCTATTCTCCCATGGGCCTTGGGCCTATGGATTCCTCTCTCTCTCTCTCTCTCTCTCTCTCTCTCTCTGCTCAGGCTTAATTGAAATGAGGAGCCAGATTGAAGGTCAGATGCTGAGTAACTCCAGGGACCAGACTCCACTTGAGTTACTCCAGGCCAGGCTACTTCCCAGCCATGCTCTTTTAGGGAGCTGTGGGTGAATGTACCCAGTTAGCCTCAGAGGGAGATCATCTGAGGGGAGAAAATCCTAGCCTCTGGTGTGCGGAAGATTTGATTACGACTACTTGCTCTGACGTCTCCCACCCCGTCTCATCCTTCCCTCCTCCACTCTTCAAGTTCTAGCAAGAAGGGCCAGCTGTGAGGCCCCCCGAGACCCACCTAAAGGTGTAAAACCAACTGGGTGGCATGAGGGAATAGATCTGGAATGTGCGATTTCTATCCCACAGGGTGCTGTTTCATTGCAGCAAGGGGAGAAGAGACCCTAAAATACCGTGGAGAGCATGTTATAATAATTATTTTAACAGGGTTTACGTGCTCCCTTTATTCCCTTTACCCAGTCAGATGGATTATGCTTTTTGACAAATCTATATTTAACATGGGCAGAGTAATATACACTGTCTGCTTTCTGGTAGAGAAATCCATATTTATGAAAATCTTGATTCTGGCAATTATAATAGACATTTAATGACAATGCCGATTGTCTGCTGTGAGCAGATAGAGTCCTTATTAGGGTGAAAGAGAGAATAGTGCAAGTGGTGAAGGATCCACAGCTCCTTTAGAGGAGCAGAAGGTCCAGGGTGACCCAACAGTCATCTCTGCTTGGGCCCAGCTCCTCCTCATTCCCTACAGTGAGTCACGTGACCCTCTCATCATCCATTCATTCAACAAATATGTACTAAGCACCTACTATGCCCCAGTCATTCTCCTGGCTTTGGTGCACAAATGAGACTCCTGTTTGGGGGAAATAAACATTGATCCAAATGGCCACAGGAATATACTAGTAAAGAAAATGATTTCAAATAATAATTAAACTATGAGAAATAAGATAGGGTGATGTGATATTTACTAGGGGGTGAGGTGAGGGGAGGGGAGAGGAACCGTTTAGGAGAGATGATAAAGGAAGACCTATTCCAGGAGGTGAGATTTGAACTGAGACACAGCTGAAAAGGAGTGACCCTAGCAAAGACGATGGGGAAGAACATGGGAGGCAGAGGATGCAACAGTTACTGTGATCTCTGGGGCAGGATGAGCTCCGAGCCCTGAGAAACAGAATGAAGGCCCGTTTGAGCAGGGAGCAAGGTTTGGTGTGAGGTAGGAGGGGTCAGGGGGGCAGGTCATTCAGCTCTGAGTCATGGTCACATGCTTGGGGATTTTTTCCCTGTGTGTACAATGGAAAGCCTCAAAACTTTTGAGAGGTTTTGCACAAGGAAGAGAAACAATGTGTTTTGTTATGCTTTGTTCTGTTTTGCTTTGTTGTGTTTGATTACAAAGATCCCTCTGGCTTCTGGGTAGAAAATGGATTTCATTGATGAAAACAAAATGTCATAAAGCTACAGTCCATAAGTAGCAACTTCAGATACCAGGAGGGCCTGGGAGTGGGTTAAGAACTGGCATTCTGCCCTGGCCGGTTTGGCGCAGCGGTTGGAGCGGCGGCCTGCGGTACTGAGAGACCCGGGTTCGGTTCCCGCTAAGGGCACATACCTCGGTTGCAGTTTGTCCCTGGCCCTGGTTGGTCGTGCAGGTGGCAGCCACTCGATGTGTCCCTTCACATCGATGTTTCTCTCTCTCTCTCTCCCTCTCTCTCCCTCCCGCTCTATCTGAACAAAAAAAATGGAAAAATGTCCTCGGGTGAGGATAAAAAAAAAGAACTGGCATTCCAGGAGGTTCTGGTCTCAAACAGTGGTCAGTCCATGGCCTAGGCACCTTGATAGGTAGTGAATACCCAGGACTAGAAGTATGCAAACAAGTGTTAATGACCACCTGCCAGGTTTCCTGTATATGGCATGCTGGTTTCAGTGGAGGTTGGACGGATGACTTGTGTTGTTCAGTTGACATCTTTAACAGACAATTATCAAGCCCACATATCTAGCGACTGACTGAAAACTGAGACACACAGGAGGCAACTGGGTACCAGTGTTGATTGCATTTTTTAGTGCAGCATGACCCAACGGTTCTTCAATAACAAGTTAAAAGTATTCACCAACAAAGGGTCGTGGGAAAAAAATATATTTGACAACATCTGGGTTAAAGTTGAACAGGATTCTTCTCAATCTTTTTTGTTGTTGTTGTCAATACTTACCAGAGGATATTTTTTCCATTGATCTATAGAAAGAGTGGAAAGGAGGGATGGAGAGAGAGAGAGATACATTGGTGTGAGAGAGACACATCAATTGGTTGCCTCCCACAGGTGCCTCAACCAGGGCTGGGGATCGAACCTGCAACCCAGGTACGTGACCAGGAATCAAGTCCATGACCCTTCGGTGCACAGGCCAGTGCTCTAACCACTGAGCTGCCAGCCAGGGTCCTTCACAATCTTTTACATAGTTAGTGTGCAGTATGAGCCTCCAAGATGAAGACAAGTTATGCATCATTTCTAAATTTATCTGACCAAATAAACCTTTTGTTTTTTAAAAAGCATCTGTGAGAATAAGGTGTCATGGAACACATTTGGACAAGTCTTCTGGAGCATAATTTGAGGCCCCACATACAAGGCAAAGAGGGGCACGCAAGCAGGTGACGTGGTAAAGAGAGCAAAGGATTGAAGGACATTAACTTTTAGCTTTAAAAAGGAAATGATACTTCCAAAGTCACGGGGGTCGTGATGCAGACTCAATAGTCTAATATATGTGAAAATGAAACAGAAAAATTACTCTAAAGAGTGTTAATGTGATGAGGAAGACTCATCTGCTTCACCATTCATACTGGGAGGTCATTTTCAGGCATTGGGGATGGTGTTGGGGGTTGGTCACCTGGCTGGGTAAAGACTGTGAACCCCTCATTCTGTATCATATATTGAGCTTTAACAACAGAAGATGATTACCAGAGTGGGGAGAAGGTGTAGGGAGGATGAAGTGGGTAAAGGGGGTCAAATATAGGCAATGGAAGGAAACTTCCGGCAGGGATCACAGAATACAGTACATAGATGTCAACTCATATTGGTGCACATGTGAACAGTAGATAATGGTATTAACCAATGTTACCAGAAAAAATTAATAAAAAAAGAAGAAATAAAAAATGAGAGCAACCTTATATATTTGGTTAAAAATTAGTTTGTAATATTAGTTCCCTGGGAAGGGCCTACGTTATTCTAGCCATCTCAGAAGCGGCTCGTCAGTGTTACCAGTAACCAAGGCTGTTCCTCCACCTCAGAACTGACAGTGGCATTTGTCTGTCGGTCAGCCCTGCCTTCCATGTTTGCTTGTTCCTCGTGCCTCTGGTTTTAGCTCCACGTTCTTTTCATGTGCATCATTTGCTTCACACAGGAGCTTTTCTTATTTTCTAGTGAGCTTATTCATCATAAAAATGGTTTATTTTAATAAACTCAGCTTCTGTTTGGAAAATAATTAAATAAAAAATAAGCTCGGTAACCAACTGACCTGGAATTTGAACGCATGACTTCTGTTTTTCATTGTATTCTCACTAGCAGAGTAACTGACTCAACCCAGAATCGGTAACTGCTCTGGGACCTTACAATATGGTTCCTATGGAGATGTTCACACAGCTAAGCTATTACTATGGCTGGTACACTAGGGCGCCTGAAACATCAGTGAGCAGGATGTACAGACACAAAACGCACATCAGCGGAGAAACGTACTCCGATAGCTAAGGGTAGGCTGGGAAAATCAACACTTATTTTCTTAAACATGAATCGGCAGCAAGCTGGCAGACCTCTTTCTTCCTGTAGCATCCTTTTCTGCTTTACCTGAAAGTGATGGACCGTGTCATGGAAAAATCACTGGATTGAGGTCAAGATAGCTCCCTAACTCACATGGCCCAGCTGTGCTAGTTGGACATGTTCCTTAAGTTTCTGGGCCCTGGTTGTCCTCTTTAAGAGGTGACCAGTGGTCCCTTTCCTACCTCGGTGAGATGGTCATAGACATAAAGTGAGAGAACATATGAAAATACTTTGTGCACATTTATACCTAATAACCATGATGACATTGGGCATGGACTTGGCACCTAATAAACACTGAATTCGATGGAGAGGTGTTTGGGTTGCACAGAGGAATGGGTGAGTGGGATACATAGATGGGTAGAATAGATGGGCAGCTGGATGGATTGGTGGGTTGAAAGGATGAATGGATGGATTGGTTGGTTGGATAGGTAGATGGCTAGATGATGGGTCAGATGATGGACTAGTAAACGGATTCATTTTGGAGTGACTTGACAGCTTATTTGCAATATCTTCTATCCATTAATCCTTCTCTTCTCTTCCAGTCTGTTCCCAGTTCTCCAAAGGAGTCTATGCCATCTTTGGGTTTTATGAACGGAGGACCGTCAACATGCTGACCTCCTTCTGCGGGGCCCTACATGTGTGCTTCATTACGCCAAGCTTTCCCGTTGACACATCCAACCAGTTTGTCCTTCAGCTGCGCCCAGAGCTGCAGGATGCCCTCATCAGTATTATTGACCATTACAAGTGGCAGAAATTTGTCTACATTTACGATGCTGACCGGGGTAAGCCAGGGACCAGGAGAGGGAGACTGCTGAAAGCTGGAGAGAAAACTACCAGCAGGAAGAAAAATGATGCCTTCTTGCCTCTCCGAGAAGCATTGGGGAAATATTCCAGAAATGCTTTATTTCTATGGACTGATTTTCCGGTGGCTGATCTCTAACTCATAGTGTGGAAACACATCCTTTGAGAGAGTAATCCTCTTAAAGCACTGTGTCTCTCTACAGCTCGCCAAGCTTCCATGGCTCCTGAGTCCAGACTTAAAGTCCAAGGACCTCAGTTGGACAGCTTATGGCTCATGTCAAGGATGTTAGGAGCATAAACATGAGTCAGACAGAGCTGGATTGAATTCTGTGTTCTCTTCTCTCCAGCTGTTTGGCTTTGGGCAAACACTCTGCCTCACTTTAACCATTCATGTAACAGGGATAAAATTCTCTATGCCTTCATTTCCTCATCTCTATCTCATAACTAATCTCGACCTTACACCTAATCTCTACCTCCTAAGGTTGTCGTGGGGATTCAATGAGAGAATGACTACAGAGTGCTTGTCAGTATCTGAAACAGAATAAATGCTCAAAGTCCTATATAAGTTAGCTTCTGTGATCATCATCACCACCACTATCATCATGTACCCTCCTAGGCCTTTCTAATTCTGCCTCCACCTAAATTTTGAATTTTACATCACATTCTCCTCATGTTTCCTATACTGTTTTCTTCTCTGAGTCTTTACTTTTGCTGTTCCCATTTTCTGGAATGCTCTTCCATCTCAAATCTACATATGCAAATCCTTCCTCTCTTTTCCAGCCTGCTCGACTACCACTTTCTCTAGTTCCTGATCCTTACATGGGAACTCTGCTCTTTTTTCTAACTCCTATGGTGGTTCTATTGCACTTCCCCGTGTGTACTAAATAGCTCAAAAGAACTCAGTTCTTATAGGTACAAGTAAATAAATGGTTCATGCAAAATCTAGAAACTGAGAAAGGGGGTATTTCTTTCCTGAGCAAAAGGGAGGTTTTCTAGGAGATTGCCTGTTGGAAGGCTTAGAAGGCATGTGAGCAGGAGGGTGGCCTGTGAGATGGTTTTTCGAGAAGAGTTAGGCAGGCATTATTCAGATAATGAGGAGCCGTAGGAGAGACCAGAGCACTCTATTTTCTTAGATTTTTCTTTCCTCTCCTTAGTTTGATGATTTTCCTTCTCAGTAGCAGCCATTGTGAGGACCCCTGCACAAAGGCTGTTTCAGTATAGCTTTGCGACACAGTGAAACTTGAATCGTGGAAGTGGCAAAGGCAGAAAGGTGTAGCTTCAATGACCGGGGATCGGCTCTGGGGTCGGCAGAAGCACCCACGCTCTTACAAGGGCTTCGCCTATCTTGGAACTCTGAGCTCTGAGCTCTGCCATTCGTTAGCTGTGTGACTCTGGTCAAATGACTCAATCTCTCTGAGCCTCAATTCCCACATTTGTGAAACAGGGCTAATGATGGTAACTACCTCACAGGATTAAGTAAATTGGAGGCAGGAAAGCTAGCAAAACAGTGCCAGACAGATAGTAAACTTTTAATACCACATTGAAACAATTTGTACTAAAAGAGAAACAAAAAGAGGCAAGCATAACACAATTAATCAAAAAATGACACTTGAGGCCTGGCACCATGTTGGTCACTGTGGGAGGGATAAGCAGTATTACAGGGAGACAGAAATAATATATGTACAAAAGATTGATTAATAATGCAAGAGAGAAATAACCATCTTATGTAGGCAGATAGAACCTGTGAATATGTTTTATTAAATGGTAAAAGGGATGAAGGTCACAGATTAAATTAAATTTGCTAATCACTGACCTTAAAATAGATTATTCTGGATTATTTGTCTGGGCCCAATGTTACCACAAGGGCCCTTAAATGTGGAAGTCAGAGGCAGAAGCAGAGTGAGATGTGAAAAAGACATGACCAGTCACTGCTGGTATTGAAGAGGGAAGGGGCCATAAGCCAAGAAATGCAGGCATGATGCTGGAAAGCCAAGAAGATATTCTCCCCTCAAACTCTAGAAAGCCACACAGCCCTACTGACACCTTGATTTTAGTCTGGGAAGATACATCAGACCTCCAGTAGTATGAGATGATAAATGTGTATTGTTTTAAGCCACCAAGTTTGTGGTAATTTGTTACAGCAGCAGTAAGAAACTAATACACCATCTATGTCGCAAAGATTAATCAAAGCAACCTTAAGTAATGGGCTCCTCTATCATTAGGCTACAAATTTGAAGACAATAATTGAATTCAGTTGAATACCAACTATGTGAGAGGCAAAATATTAGGTTCTGAGATAATACTGAACATTCACGAATGTAACGGACAGTTATTAGGTGCCGTTTAGATATCAGGCCAGCACATTTAAGAAGCAGTTACTAAATGCCACTTCTCTCCTACTCACCGGACCTCCAGGTCTGTCCGTCCTGCAGAAAGTCCTGGACACAGCTGCTGAGAAGAACTGGCAGGTGACAGCAGTAAACATTTTGACAACCACGGAAGAGGGATACCGGATGCTCTTTCAGGACCTGGAGAAGAAAAAGGAGCGGCTGGTGGTGGTGGACTGTGAATCGGAACGCCTCAATGCTATCCTGGGCCAGGTAGTGAACACGGCAGAGGCTCAGGGCGGGGGGGGGGGCGATGGTTCAAGGGAGACCTGAGCAACCTTTTGCCTGGAGTGTTACAAAGAGAGTTCTTGACTAGATGAGGCCAGATGCCTTCTTTCTCACAGTCTGTAATTCATAAACTTTAATTCTGAAATTTTATGAAACAGTGGGAGCCTTCACATAGGGCTTCCTATGGATCTCAGAGCAGTTGACCAAAACCTCACTTCCAGTGTTTCCCTTTATTGTTAAAAAGAGAATTACGTTGTAGAGTAGAGTTTGTGAAGGGCTCTTGCATTGGGTACACAGCCTGCGGAGCCAGGTTCCTGGGTTCAGCTCTGGGTCCTGTCAGTCACTGATCCTGCATTGGCCATCTCGCTCATTTGGCCCGCTGACCTGTTTTAAGAGCCTAAGGAGGCAGCAGGCACCTCCCTTTCTACTGTTTCCTTGAACACTCGCCTGTGTCTGGGAAATCCATTGATTGTACGCTCTGTGAAAGGGCACTGTAGCCTCATCAGTTTTCAGCCAGAGGTCTCTAAGCCAAGCTTCTTCCGGTTCTCAGAACTAAAGCATGTGCCTATCACAGAAGGAGCAGGCTTCTGTGCAGATCACTGTCTTTTTAAATTACGTGTGTGTATTCAGATGAGCTAGCAAGGAAGTATATTCTGCAATCATTTTTGAATAGTGCTATATAATGAAAGATGGTAGTTTTGGGTACTTGACAACATGACAAAGCTTGTTAATGGCCCTCAAGACCTCTGCTGCCTCCACAGGGAATCTCAACACCAACTCAGCAATCACTCAGAGGTCTCAACAACAGAACAGGAGGGATTTTGAAAGTCAGCGATTCTTTAAGGCATTAACTCTGTGTTCCACTTTATAAAGTGTGGGTCTGGCCTCCCCTCTGGGAAAGAGAAACCAGCAAAAAATGGTTTCCACTGAGATGGGAGTTCTCCGGCCTGGAGTCAGGGGATTTGAATTCTAGTTCAATGATGCAGTCTAAGGGGGTGATTAAGAGCAGAGACCCAGGCCCTGGCTGGTTTTTCTCAGTGGTTAGAGCATCGGCCCAGGGACCAGAGAGACCTGGTTTGGTTCCCACTAAGGGTATGTACCTTGGTTGCAGTTTGTCCCCGACCCTCGTTGGAGTCGTGCGGGTGGCAACCAGTTGATGTGTCTCTTTCACATCGATATTTCTCTCTCTCTCTCTTCCTCCCTCTCTCCCTCCTTCTCTATCTGAAGATGAATGCAAAAATGTTCTTAGGTGAGGATAAAAAAAAGGTGGGGGACAGAGACCCAGGAGCCAGGGTGGCTGAGATTCAAACCCAGCTCTAGTATTTATTAGCTCTGTGACAATGAGCCATGTTTTTTTAATCTTTCTACATCTCGGGCTCCTGATCTGTAAATGGGGATACTAACAATAGCTTCCTTTAGGGGGCTCCTGTGCGCATTAAAAGACTCTATACATATAAAGCGCTGGGAACAGAGCCTGCCCCACAGAAGGTGATATATGTGAGCACTGCCTGTCTCTGCTATTCATACTGCCAACAATACCGTCTTCTTGAGTCACTCCTTCTTGGGCATAAGTGTTCTCATCTGTAAAATGGGAATGAAGGTCCCTGTCCTACAATGCTGATAATAGATGAGATAGAAGTGGAGACAGTGCTGAATGATAATTGGGGATTCTTAGTAGACTGATGCCTTGTCCTATATCATTCCATAGTGGAGATAAGTCAGTGCTACTATTTCCTGAGTGCTTGTCATGTACCAGACACTATGCCAGAGCCTTTCCATGCACAGCCCTACGTCAGCCTCATACCAACTCTGCAGACAGCGTCTATCAACTCCCTTGTTTTATACATGAAGAAACAAGGATCATGCTTGCCCAGGGGCTTGCAGCTAACATATAAAAAAAAGCAGGAACTCAAACCCAGCCTGGTCTGCCTACAGGGCCCAACCTCCTAAACATGCAACTTTCCAGCTTCGTTACCTCCTTTGCCAAAAGGACAAACTTGTATTCTGTAAGAATGTGACTTGTGTGGATGGGTATCTCACATTGTAGTATATTAACGTTTAAAATGGCTGAATGCCTCAATTCTGGAAAGTAAGACAGAAGAGCTGAAAGGGCCTTGAGATCACTTGATTGACCATCTACTCTCAACGTTTTACAGGTACGATGACTCACAGTCAAATTGGGTGGATGCTTTGCCACGGTTCAGATGACTAGTTTGTGACAATGATGAGTCTAGAATTTACATCTCCTGACCTGCCACCTGATATCTTGGCATCAATCAAAACCCTCAGTAGCTGGGATCCTTTTGGTCTAATATAAGTGTTCTGCCTAAGGAGGGAGATTGTGATTCCAAATTCCCAACAGAAAATCAATTGCCTGTTTCTGACCTCAGCCCCACAACCAGAATGCAAGTCAATGAGGGATTTTTGTATTTTCCTGCTCTATCCATGGTGTCTTGAGCAGTGCTTAGCTCTAGGAGGCATTCCATAAATGTTTTCTGAGTGACTGGAAAGAATAGGGAATCAAGAAAGGCTCTAAGAGAGATGCCAACTATGAGATGGGTCTGGCTATCTACAGGTAGCCATTTGCTGGGTAAGAGCCTTTCAGCTGGAGAAAAGAATATATAGAGAAGCCCAGGCAGGGCTCATAGAATGGCTTAGCAGCCAAGTAGAAGGCACTGAGTGTCTATGGAGAAACAATGATAGGAAGATGAACACATGATTGTGACTATTCTTGGAAACCATTGTAAAGAGTTTGGAGTTTATGCCATAAACAGTGAAAAGGCTGTAAAGGTTTATGATCAGAGAGCAGGGTTATTAGAATATCATGCTTTACCAATATATGACACCAGATTATATAACACAGTCATTAAGTTCAGAATGAGTTAGAGACGAGACTGGGACCAGGCCAACCATCACATCATTCTGTTTCATTGTCTGCATAGTGCTTCTCACCTACTGAAATCTTCTTCATTTATCTGTTTATATATTTACCATCTGGCTCCCTACTAAAATATCAATATATCAATGCAGTTCAATGAGGGCATGGGGACCTTGCCACTCTTATCCATAGCATAGTGCTTGGCATACAGTTCACGTTCAATGAACATCTGCTAACTGGATTAATTGGTCATGGAAGGTTTTGCAGAGTAGTAGGGATTAGAACTCAGCCACAAAGGTTATGAATAATCACAGAGAAATAAAACAGTATTCCAGACACAGAGATTGTGAATTAAGGCCATCCAGTGGAAATGAACTTAGAAGGAATGGGGTCGGTGGAGCAATGTTCTCAAGTGAAATTATAAATTATCTTCCTAACAACTTTCTTAGTTCATAACCCCGTGTGCATTTCTCACTTTATCTGTTTAGTAAGGGTCTCCTCCCACTAAACTGTCACTTCCGGGAGGGCAAGCACCATACCTGTTTCCTTTTCCACAAAACCCCCAGCACAATGCTTGGTAGATAGTAAGCACTGAATAAATGTTTGTGAAGGGAATGTGGGAAGGAGGGAAGGTAGACCAGTGGGTAAGTAGATGAGTCAGTGGGTAAGCAGGTTGGTATTAGTTTGAACCATATGAAATAGCTCATTTTTATTGGTCATAAGTCATCAATCATCAGCTGGCTTCCTATGTTTCAATCTGCAATTTTATCTTGCAGAGGTTATAATACTGCATTGCCTGAATATGGTGGGTTTTGAAATACCTTTTATTTGCTCCTTCGTGTTTATTAGAATCTAAATAGGATTTTGATAAAGGTATCTCGTTGTTGAAAAGGCAGCAAACCATTTGACAAGAAGATGGAAAGTAATGAAGAAGTATTAATGAAACTACCATCCCAATAGTTTTTGAGCTCCGTGGTCTGGAATTTTAAAGTCTAACCACTGTTTTGAGGCATTCATTGTGTGCACTTGCATTTAATTATTCCCTACATAGAAAATATGTGCACTGCTATGCACATACATCCAATTAAGTAGATGTCTGAATGTGGATTTCAATAACCTTGAAAATTTATTCAGAGGAGCCCAAGTATTCTCATATGTTTTATGTCTCTTGGCAACAGTACAGAGGGGGAGGTACTGAGCAGGGTCCACTAACTCCAATTTGATAATAAAAAATAAAATAAGTGCCCTGGCCAGTTTGGCTCAGAGGTTTGAGCATCAGCCCATGGACCAGAGAGCCCCGGGTTTGGTTGCTGCTAAGAGCACGTACCTCAGTTGCAGTTTGGCCCCAGCCCTGGTTGGAGTCGTGTGGGAGGCAACCACTCGGTGTGTCTCTTGACATTGATGTTTCTCTCTGTCTCTTCCTCCCTCTCTCCCTCCCGCTTTATCTAAAGATAAGTGCAAAAAATGTCCTCGGGTGAGGATAAAACTAAAAATAAATAAATACATAAATAAAATACAGACATAGATCAAGTTAACTTTCAGGTGGAGTGAGGCTGAACCAAGGCTTTCAGTCTTAGCTCTTCCTTGGGTGGCATGTCTGGCTACCCAGGCAAACCTCTGAGTAATTATTTCCACAAATATTTTTTCTGCCTACAAGGATTAGGGACAATCAGCACATTCAGGATAGAGGGGTATTTGAGGACCCTGGCTCTTAATAGTTAACCATAATCGGGCATCCTTTGAAAAGGCTCACTGGAGTCAGGTCCCTGTCCTGATATTGCTACCAGACTGCTGTGGGATATGAGCAAATCACTTTGCCTCTCTGGTCCTGGACTTCACATGTGTACAGTGAGGTATGAGATGAGACCATTCTGACATTCCCTTTCAGCTTCTGGGTTGAGTGGTCCATTAATGTCTGATAACCCAGCTGGTTTAGAGAAGAAAGCACAAAATTCAAGGAAAGCAGGAACTGCATTGGAATGTGGTTCATGCATGGAGTTAAAGGTCAAGAGCTGGGGTGGAGTCATCTGTTTACCCATATGACCACCCACCCACTCGACCATTCATCTGTTCATCCAAGCAGCAGATGTTGTCATGGCAGTGACAGGAGATTCAACACAGCGTACTGTTCTCGCCAGGAAGACTCTCCATGCATGAGGAAGGCTTTAAGAAAGGAGAGAAGTGGTCTGGCAGTGTGGTTCAGTTGGCTGAAAGTCATCCCATGCACCAAGAGTCTGCCTGTTCCGTTCCATGCCAGTAGGGGGCGTGCAGGAGGCAACTGATGGATGTTTCTCTCTTGTTCCTTCTCCCTTCCACTCTCTCTAAAATCAATAAAAACATATTTTTAAAATATTTTTTAGAAAGAAGAAAGGAGAGAAGTCAACATTTCAGATGGGTACTTGGGGTTATGATAATGCTACTCTACCCCCAGAATCAGACAAAACTGATTTTAAATCTTGCATCTGCCACTTAATAGCTGGGTAACCGTAGGAAACTTATTTAACCTCTCTATGCCTCAATTCCTCATCAGGGTCTCCATGCCACCATTGTTGGGTGGTTGTGACATTGTACTAGGATAGGGCAGAGCACATTGTAAGTACTCAATTAATATTAGTTCCTATTATTATTGCTGTTGGGGCTTTCATTGCTAATATGATTAGTGAACCCCTTCCCTTGTGTTTTTTTAGATTATAAAGCTGGAGAAGAATGGCATTGGCTACCACTACATCCTTGCAAATCTGGTGAGTAGAACACACTACAGGTGGTCTGCATGTTTGGGGCCCCAGCTTCCTCCCGCGGTTCCTGGCTGGGGGGAGCTGCATGGGTGAAAAGGGAAATTTGAAGCTGCAATACTGAATCCAGTCAATACCAAGGTTCCCTGTTCCCCTCCACATCCCTGCTTGGCCAAGTACAGCACGCTGTTGGTGAATCTAAATTCCCGGGCTTCATCAGTCATCACCATTCTAGCTTTATTCGACGCTGCCCCTTGTCAATAAGGGCAAAATCACCACACTTGATCATTTTCTAGTTCACAGATAGAAACATTTAAACCATAATTACACTAGTATTGATGAATCTGTACCCAGAAACAGTTTTCCAGCATGAACAATATTATTTCAATTTAGTTTTTTATTCCTTTTTCTACATGGCATAGATGAGATGTCTTTCTTTAAAATTTTATTCTCATTTTAATGTATTGCAGGCCTTTTTTATGGGGTGCAATTATTTTTCATGTTATGAAGACTTGATTCGTCAAATAATTTCTTATACATATTAAATTTTATCTAGTAACATGCCATTTTGAATTACTGTTGCTGGTGTGTGTGTGTGTGTGTGTGTGTGTGTGTGTGTGTGGCCATTATTTCTGGCAATTCAATTTCTTCTGGGTCATGTTTTGCCTGTCTACCTTTTTGTCATGAAGTGTAATTCTTCCAGCTGTTTTTTTCCCAAAGCTAATTTCATTTAGCTTTAGAAACATTAAACATGTAAATTAATGTAAACATCAAACATTTAAATTAATGTAATTTTATTTTGCCTTAGTCCATTTTTTAAAGAACTTTATTGGGATGTAATTTATATACCATGTAGTTTGTTCATTTAAAGTGTACAATTTAATGGTATTTTTATATATTCACAGAATTGTGAAACCATCAACAATCTTATTTTAAAGCTTTTTTATCCCCCAATAAAAGACACTTAATGTCCAGGAGCTGTTTTTCTCGCTGCACTCCAGTTCTCCCAGCACTGATCAACCACCAGCACACCTGCTGACTCCATCATTAGCTTACCCTGGGCATTGCAGGAAATAGAAAAGGTCCAATCCATGGACTTTGGTGACTGGCTTCTGTCATTTAGCATAATGTTTTCAAGGTGAACTCATATCGTAGTATGTATTCCTTTATTCCTTTTATTGCCAAACAATATTCCATTATATAGATATACCACATTTTGTCTGCTCTTTGCTTGATGGACATTGGAGTTGTTTCACTTGTTGACTATTATGAATAATGCAGCTATCAATATTTGCATACAAGTTTTTCTTCTGAGTATACACCCAGAGATGGCACTGATGGGTTATATGGTAACTCTCAGTTTAACTTTTTTTTTCAGTATTATGCTATCTTTTTTTTTTTATTAATTTATTTTTGTTACAAATGTTTCTCCTTTTTCCCCCAGCTTTGTTGTCTGTGTCCATCAGTTATGTGTACATGCATATAAGTTCTGTGGTTTATCTCTTCCCTCCCCTCCCCTCTTCTGAGAGTTGTCAGTCTGTACCCTACTTCCCCGTCTCTAGGTCTACCCATCATGTGATACTTGTCTTTCTCTGCTTGGCTTGTTTCGCTTAGGATAATACTCTCAGGTCCCTCCATGTTGATTCAAAGGATAAGAGATCTTTCTTTCTTACAGCTGCACAGTACTCCATTGTGTATACGTACCACAGCTTTTTTATCCATTCGTCTACTGATGGACACTTGGGCTGTTTCCAGATCTTAGCTATTGTAAATAGTGCTGCTACAAACATGGGGGTACTTTCTGATTGATGTTTCAGGCTTCTTAGGGTATATTCCTAGGAGTGGGACCACTGGATCAAATGGCAATTGAATTTTTAATTTTTTAAGGAAACACCATAGTGTTTTCCATAGTGGCACCAGTCTGCATTCCCACCAGCAGTGCACTAGAGTCCCCTTTTCTCCACACCCTTGCCAGCACTTGTTTGATGATTTGTTGATGGCGGCCATTCTGACAGGTATGAGGTGATACCTCATTGTTGTCTTAATTTGCATTTCTCTGTTGATTAGTGATGTTGAGCATTTCTTCATATGTCTCTTGGCCATTTGTATGTCCTTTTTGGAGAGGTGTCTATTTAGCTCCTCTGCCCCATATTTTAATTGGGTTCTTTGTCTTCCTTTTGTTGAGTTGTAGGAGTACTCTATATATTTTGGAAATCAACTCCTTATCTGATGTATCATTGGCAATTATGCTCTCCCATACAGTGGGTCCCCTTTCCATTTTGATGATTGTTTCTTTTGCTGTGCAGAAGCTATTTAGTTTGATGTAGTCCCATGCATTTATTTTTCCCTTTGTTTCTGTTGCCTTAGGTGATGTACCAGTGAAAAAAATTTGCTACATACAATGTTCAAAATTTTGTTGCCTACATTTTCTTCTAGAATTTTTATGGATTCATGGGTTACATTTAAGTCTTTTATCCATTTTGAGTTTATTTTTGTGTATGGTGTAAGTTGATGGTCTAGTTTCATTATTTTGCATGTAGCTGTCAAATTTTCCCAACACCATTTATTAAAGAGGCTGACTTTACTCCATTGTATGCTCTTGCCACCTTTGTCAAATATTAATTGAGCATAATGTCTTAAGTCCAGTTCTGGGTTCTCTGTTCTGTTCCACTGGTCTATATGCCTGTTCTTATGCCAGTACCAGGCTGTTTTGATTACAGTGGCTTTGTAGTATAACTTGATATCCAGTATTGGGATCCCACCTACTTTATTCTTCTTTTTCAAGACTGCTGTAGATATTGAGGGTCTTTTTTGGTTCCATATGAACTTTTGAAGCATTTGTTCTAGTTCTATGAAGTATGTCATTGGTATTTTGATGGGGATTGCATTGAATCTATAGATTGCTTTGGGTAGTATGGACATTTTAATGATGTTAATTCTTCCAGTCCATGAACAAGGTATGTGCTTCCACTTTTTTATATCTTCCTCTGTTTCTTTTTTCAATGTCCTGTAGTTTTCTGGAAGTAGGTCCTTTACTTCTTTGGTTAAGTTTACTCCTAGGTATCCTAATTTTTTTTGCTGTGATTGTAAATGGGATTGTTTTTTAGTTTCTCTTTCTGTGAGTTCATCATTGGTGTATAAGAATGCTGTCAATTTCTTGACATTAATTTTGTATCCTGCTACTTTGCCAAATTCATTTATTAAGTCTAGTAGATTTCTGATGGATTCTTTAGGGTTTTCTATATATAATATCATGTCATCTGCGAATAATGACATTTTCACTTCCTCCTTTCCAATCTGGATCCCTTTTATTTTTTCTACGTGTCTGATTGCTGTGGCTAAGACTTTCAGTACTATGTTAAATAACAGTGGTGAATGGGCATCCCTGTCTTGTTCCTGTTCTTAAGGGAAATGCTTTTAGTTTTTGCCCATTGAGTATGATGTTGGCTGTAGGTCTTTCATATATGGCCTTTATTATGTCAAGATATGATCCCACGTTGCTGAACATTTTTATCAAAACTGAGTGATGGATTTTTTTGAGTGCTTTTTCAGCATCTACCGATATGATTATGTGGTTTTTATCTTTCATTTTGTTTATGTGGTGTATCACATTTATTGATTTGCGAAGATTGCACCAGCTTTACCTCCCTGGGATGAATCCCACTTGGTCATGGTGAATAATTTTTTTGGTATATTGCTGGATCCAATTTGCTAGTATTTTGTTCAGGATTTTGGCATCTATGTTCATCAGGGATATTGGCCTGTAGTTTTCTTTCTTTGTAGTGTCTTTTTCTGGTTTTGGAATTAGAATTATGCTGGCCCCATAAAACGAGTTTGGAAGTCTTCCTCCTTCTTGAATTTTTTGAAATAGTTTGAAGAGAATGGGTGTTAGTTCTTCTTTGAATGCTCAGTAAAACTCCCCAGTGAAGCTATCTGGGCCTGGACTTTTGTTTGCTTGGAGAGTCTTGGTTACCTCTTCAGTTTCCTTAGTTGTTATTGGTCTGTTCAAGTTTTCTATCTCTTCCCTGTCCAGTTTTGGGAGACTATATATTTCTAGAAATTTGTTCATTTTGCTTAGATTGTCAAATTTGTTGCCATATAATTGTTTATAATATTTGTTAATGATCCTTTGTATTTCTGTGGTGTCAATTGTTACTTCTCCTCTTTCATTTCTGATTTTGTGTATTTGGGTTCTGTCTCTTTGTTTCTTGGTGAGACTAGCTAAAGGTCCACCAATCTTGTTTATCTTTTCAAAAAACCAGCTCTTTGTTTCATTGATCCTTTGAATTGTTTTTTGGGTTTTTTGTTTGTTTGGTTTTTGTTTTTGTTTTTTGTCTCTCTGTCATTTATTTCTGCTCTGATCTTTACCATTTTCTTTCTTCTACTTGCACTAGGATTTTCTTTTTGTTTGCTTTCTAGTTCTTTAAGTTGTGAGGTTAGATAGTCTATTAGAGACTTCTCTTGCTTCTTGAGGTAGGCCTGTAGTGCTATGAACTTCCCTCTCAGAATGCTTTTGCTGCATCCTATAGATTTTGTGTTGTTATGTGTTCATTTTCATTGGTTTCCAGGAAGTTTTTAATTTCTTCCTTGATCTCCTCGGTAACCCACTGATTATTTAATAACATGCTATTTACTTTCCATGTGTTTCAATGTCTTTGCATGTTCTTGTTGCAATTGATTTCTAGTTTCATGCCACTTTGATCTGAGAAGATGCTTTATATGATTTCAATCATCTTGAACTTGTAGAGACGTAGTTTGTGTCCTAACATGTGGTCTATCTTTGAGAATGTCCCGTGTGCACTTGAGAAGAATGTGAATTCTGTAGTTTTGGGGTGTAATTCTCTGTAGATATCTATTAAATCCATTTGGTCTAGTGCTTTGGTTAGAGTCTTTGTTTCCTTGCTAAGTTTTTGTCTAGAGGATCTATCCAGTGATGTCAGCAGGGTGTTGAATTCCACTGCTATGATTGTATTGCTGTTGATTTCTCCTTTGAAGTCCTCCAGAAGATT